TGCGGCTAACAGATAGCAGCATGCCGTTCGGCGGAATTCAGCGCGTTCCTGCTGCACGAATGGTTGGACAGGTGTGAACAACACCTCGTGGGGGCGGCACCGCAGGCGTCCATTGAGGGGTCCAGGTGATAGCCCTGGGCGGGCAATCCATACGCCTAGTTGGGCTTCAGATCGCCCGATCGCGTCCCGGTGAACTGACGTCGGATTTGTGACGCCGCCGCACCGCGCCGCGGCCGGGGGCCCTCTGGAGGCTGAGGATGGCCGTGGCGGACCTAGACGAGCTCTGGGAGGTAAAGTGTCAGTGTATATATTGTAGAGGCTGACCACGTGCACAATATCTCTCACTCTAGCTAAGCCAGGGGAGGCTATTCTGGGCGTCCACACGGCTTGCACCGGTGACCCTCGCGACAAAGCGAGCGCGTCCGGCAGAGCGACTGAAGAATCGAGGACAGAGTCACAAATCCCGCTTGTTGTGCATGTTTTGAGGTCGGACAGTGCTGCTGTCTTCTCCACGCAGCAGCCGACGCCACCAGGCCTCGGTAGCTGAGCAGCAGGAGCCTCCTCGCTGCTGGCAGAGTTGCGCCTCTGTTTGCCGCCGCTAAGAGATCGTTGTTGCGGGAATCCAGGGAATCTAAAGGAATCTAGAATCTGTGGGTCCGAGATTCGATCTGGGACCTGAGCCGCTCGGGACCAGCTGCACATGACCCGGGGCCACTGCCATGTCGCAGACGGCTGCTGGATCGGCCGTCGCATGCGACCAGCCGTCCTGCAAAGGAATAAAATAAGACGGCGTTCCTGTCAGTACTGACAGGAACGCCGTTTAGGGGTTAACCATCATGGGGCACGGACCTTCTGCGACAACCCAGCCCCCTAGTGGGCCTGCGACACACCTTTCGCCGCCAACTCTGCTGGGTGAATGCAACGGGAACGAATTCCTTTGCCTCCAAAATCGTAAGAGCTACATACACTGAAAATGTTTCACCATGGAATGCAACAGTTGGGCCTACCCCTTCGTCGGCCGCACGACCCGAGGAGCACGTCGACCGCAAGGTGCATGTGGTCGAAGAAGCGAGCCTCGGGCGTCTGGTGCGAGCGCATGAGCGCCTCGCTCACGCGCCGCTTCGCCCCAGAGAAATCGGAGAATGCGGCCGGGCGCTCACCCGGCGGCGTCTCGGCGAGTAAGCTCTGCCCGCGGCGCAGCAGGCTGACAGAGATGTGCTTGTCCAGAGCGGCCGCGAACGTGGCAAGCTTGTCCGAAGGCAGAGGGCGTCCAGGCGGAGTGGCCGCTAGATCGTCGAATAGAACGTCGACGTACCGCTTCGTGGGTGGCAGCGCTGCCACGGCGCCGCGCCACGCGGACTCACTGGGATCGAGGAGCGCCGCATTGACGAGGTACAGCGAGGCTTCGACAAGGTCGTTCCTCGCCTCAAAAAGGCTTGCCTGGTGCTTAAGCATGCGGACCACCTTGCCCGTTGTGATCAGTGTGGGCACCAGGTTGTCGGCCTTCACGAGGATGCTTTGAGCCTCGTTGTAGATGAAAACGCGAGTCGGCAGGCGCCCGCTCTCCGGGTCG